GCTCTGACCTGAATTGTTCTGGTCCTCTGCTGCTTCAACAAAACTCAGGTGATGGCGCATGCCTTTAATCCCAGCACTCAGGAGGCAGAGGCAGGCAGATCTCTGTGAGTTCGAGGTCAGCCTGGTCTACAGAGTGAGTTTCAGGGGAGCCAGGGCTACACAGAGAAACCCTGTCTGGGGGTCAGGGGCCAAACAACAGCAATAACAAAATCCATCTCGGAACCACAACATCCCTGTTGCCTGCGCCCTGAGGCTGGTTCCCACTCCTTTTGAGGGGGCCTCCTACCTGGGTGTCTGGGTACCAAACCCAGACCCTAGGGTTGTTCATTCTCTTCTGGTTCATTTTTTTTTTCTTTTGTTCTTCCCTTCCTAAGACAGCCCAGAGTTCCCATTGCCTGCAATGGCTCTCCTTCTCTTGGCATTTTCTCCTGAGAACGCCCACTAGCCTGGGGTGGGAGGACTTTAAAATCAGCATTCCACTGCTGAAGAGAGAAGGGGGGAGGAGGGAGGGAGGGAGAGAGAGAGAGAGAGAGAGAGAGAGAGAGAGAGAGAGAGAGAGAGAGAAGGAGGGAGGGAGAGAGCGAGCTTGCTCTAAGTGGCTATTTCAGCCGCTGCCCATGGAGACTTGGACCATATAGGAGAGAGACTGGATGGGGTTCCTGGGAGCCTGGGTCAAGCTGAGGAACTCATCATTTCTGCCTGTGCTGGACCCCGAGCCTGTGACGATGAACCATTAGAGGCAGGCAGTCAGAGAGAAGATGCTGAGTTATCCTGAGATTTCCCCCAGGATCCCCCGGGGTTCATCATGAGGGCAGCAGCTGAGGAAGCCTCCCAAGGGCCAGACTCAGTGCATGTCCACATGCATGTGTAATCCCCTCTGAGAGTCATGATAGTTGAGATGAGGCCAAAGGGTGAGACCCTACAGTGGGGTTAGTGTTCTTATTAAAAGAGGAAGAGGCCTGGTAAGATGCAGCCATGGGCGGGCTGGGAAGAGAGTCCTTACATAACCTGATCTGGGACTTCTAGTCTCTAAAAGGCTGTGGCTTTTACTGTTGAAACCACAGAATCTGTGGCTGGAGAGATTGGCTTAGTGATTAAGAGCCCCGGCAACTCCTAGCACCCACATGGTGCTCACAACAGTCTGTAACTCCAATTCCAGAGGATCTGGCATCCTCTTCCAGTCTCTGAAGGCACAGGGCACATGGTACACATACAGACATGCAGGCAAAAAAAAAAAAAAAAAAAAAAAAAAAAAAAAAAAAAAAAAAAAAAAAAAAAAAAAAAACCAAAAAACCCACAACATAAAATAAAGGAAGATACTTTAACCCACAGTGTCTGGGACCTTTTATTCTAGGCCTTACCTTATGTTATGTTCCTATCACTCTAGTTCCAGGGATAATCTACAGTGGTAGCACAGAGTCCAGCCATAGGAAGATGGGGCATGGGAAGGATCCAGATGTGGGGCAGGCCAGATGGGGTTAATACAGTCATGGGGAGGACCCAGGTGTGGGGCAGACCAGATGGGTCTAACCAGGAGTCTGCATGTGACCAGCCCCTTGTCTGGTTGCCCTGGCCTGCTTCCTTCCTTCCACCTAGGTTGGATGGGACAGGTAATTTTCTCAGACAACCTTCCTTGGAGGACGCAGTGATTTCTGGTCCAGACATGTAGTTTAGCACACGGCTGTGTAATTAAGCTGGGCTGTGGAGGTCCTGGCACTCAGCTCTGTCTGTGGTAAGGACGCCCAGGTCTGTCATGCAGCGGCCTGGCCTCCTTCAGTGGTTTTTCCTCCCATCCTGAGGAGAATATATTCACCTAGCTTCACTCCCAGGAAGCTGAACTGTAGGGGAGAAACATCCCCTGGGCGCATAGAGGGGTCACACCCTCCTCAGGGTTCTTTGCCTGGAGTATTCCCCAGCCCAGATTCTCCTTCTTAGCCAGTCGAATTTCTGCTGAAGAAACTTCAGAGTTTAAGGACTTGATGTCAGGGCCTCCCCGGTGGACCACAGCAGGTTTGGCTCCAGGTGGCATTGGAACATCTCCTTCTCTTCTCTCTCTTGGTTTTTTGAGGCAGGGTTTCTTTGTAGAGCCCTGGTTGTCCTGGAACTCACTCTGCAGACCAGGCTGGCCTTGAACTCACAGAGATACGCTTGCCTCTGCCTCCCAAGTGCTAGGATTAAAGGTGTGCACTGCCACCACCTGGCTCAGGGTCTCCTTTTCTCAGGGGTTTGGCCTCTTGGAGCAGCTGAAGGAGGAACGGGAAAGGGGACAGAGAATAGCCAGAGAAAGAGGGTCACACGGGGGGCCACATGATATGGGACAAGAACGGCGGCACTTGGGAGGAATCTAGCCCAAACCAGTGCTCAGAAGCCCTGGCATCCGAGGTCTGTGGTCCCTGATCTAACAGTTTGGGTGGCCGCCCTATTGTCTTGTATTTTAAGGAAAAGACACTTGAGAATGTAGGTAGTTGGGTGAGGGTCTATGGCCCACAGAAGACGGCATCTTTCCTACCTGACTCTGGCCCTTTGTGGGCTCAGGCTTCCCCCATAGCACCCACCTCTTTCTCTTGTTGGCGGCTGTTGGGAGTATACCCAAGGGGGTGTCTGCAGCCTGGCAGAAGGCAGGAGCTTGATCAGATCCAAGAGCCTGGGCCTCCAAGCTGCAGGAGGTGCATTGGCAGATCTGGCTGTGTTTAAAAATGCTTGGCACGGCTTTTAATAGGCGCGTATTCCCAAGTCACCCATATGAGAGCTCGTCCCTCAGAAGCCCACCCAAACTGTCCCGCGCGCCACTTTTTTCTACAGAAAGGGAGATGTAGGCCTGGAGGGGTGACTCAGGCCTTCTCCCTCAGCTTGCACAGCAGAGTAGGGTCACCTTGGTCCTGAGATTCCTAGGCAGGATGTGGGCTTGCAGCTTCTGAGCCTGGAGTATTTTCTAGGGACAGACCCTCTTCTGTACCACGTGGTACCTCTTAGGTGTCCAGCTTGTCTATTTCCAGCACGTGGGACAGACTACTCCCAGCCTGGTGTTTGTAAGTGCATCTCAAAGCTAGACTCTGCTTGCCAAAGACCTCAGCCTGCCACGGGGCATCTAGACCAGAGCTGTCGTGGATTCCACAAACCCAGGCACCCGGTCCCAAGTATGGGTTATAACTGTCCCCCAAGCCCTGGTCTCTGACAGCCTTCAAAATACTTCTGCTAAAATGTGAAGTGGTAGCTTTGTGGGGGAAGGAGCTCAGGGCAGTTTGGAAAAAACTCTTCGATTCTGCTTCATGCAGTTGATCTTGCCGCCTAGGGGTCTCCCACTCACTCTGAGAATGGATTTCCAAGTGTAACAGGGTGAGCGGGCCTCTGTATACTCTCACATGAACCTTTGCTCCACCCACCTCTTTCCTCTCCCTGCCCCTTTCCCTCCAAGGTACGACTCCTGGGGAGCAATTTGAGCAGCACTGCTTAACTACTTTCTCTGAAGAAAAAACTCGTCGACCAAGGTGGACCGGATTATTATGTCTCTTTCTCTTTGCTGAAGTACTTCCCAATCTATCTACTAAAGAAAAAAAAAAATCCCACCATCAGGATCTTTAATAAATGGGCTTTAATCAAGGGAATTATCAATGTGATTCATCCTCCCTCAGGGCACATCTGCAATTTATCTTTCAGCAAAGGGCTCGATGTCTTAATGCACAGGACCTTGGAACAATGGCCATTAATCCCATCTGTCCCCATGAGGAGGAAGAAGCATTTGATGTTAGTGCCCAGGGCGCTGACCCCATTAGGAATCTCTCCACTGGAGTCCCCATAACGCTGACATCTTAACTAAAAATGGAGCAAAAGATGCGTGGCACACAGTGCTCCGGGGGCGAGGCTGAGCCGGGCCGTGGTGACCCCTCCCTGTTCGTGGTGACAGTCGAGGCTGCTGGGCTCAGGAGTCGTGGGTGGTGGCTCAGCCCTGTCCACTGCCTTCCTTCCTTGTTCCTCTGGGGCTCAGCCCGGATGCTGCAAGGGGGAGGATGCTCCTAAGCATGGGGTGGTGGTGGTGGTGGTGGTTCTCGTAATGAACGAGGTCAGTAAAGTGGGAGCTGTTTCAGATCAGTCCCTGCCTTAGTCACCCAAATGGAGCCAATGCACCCTGACCCTATAATACCTACTGCCCAACAGGACCAGAGTCAGGAGCTAGAACTGGACTGGGGATATGGACTTGAATCTATCTATCTTTCTTCTTCCCAAGGGGGAATAGTTATATTTCTCTTTTTCAGCCCAGTGGAAAGGAAGGGCTGATTTTCCTCCCTACTCTTTCGATCCTCGCAGCCTCCGCCCCTGGGCCAGGCCTGGTAAACCAGAGACTCTGTGCACTCAGCCTTTGCCTATAGCCCATGGCAGCCCCCCCCCACCCCTGTTCTGCCTTGGACCCTGCTTGTCACAGTCCCAGATGCCAGAGGCCTGGAGGGGCTGCCATGACACTGTTCAGAACCGAATTATTCCTAGAATTACAGAACCCCTTATCGGAAAAAGTTCGACCCGTTTGGCAACTTTACTACATTTTCAGAACCAGAGAATTAGAGTTCGGTCAAACCTCAAGTTGGGAAAGGACTTGTATGTCCACTTTCTTTCCCACAAAGCACCCTCACACGAGCTTCTTTTTTCTCCATCTAGGTCTTCTTGCATAGAAGCCTGCCCTAGAGAGAAACATTCCCATGGCCTCTCCTGCCATTCCTGCACCTCTAGGAGACCTGTATTTATTGAAGTCAAGGAAGGGCCAATGGCAGCTTAGTGGCATGAAGTACAACGTGTTGCATTCTGGGTTGAGGCAGTGGAATGTCCTTGTGTTCTTCCCAGTGTCCTCTTTCCCTTTCCTTCTTTTTTGCTTGCACACTCAAGTTTGTGTGTGTGTGTGTGTGTGTGTGTGTGTGTGTGTGTGTGTGTGTGAAAGAGAGTGTATTTTGACTGCACCATGTGTGTGCCTGGTACTCTATAAAGTCAAAATAATGGTGTCAAGTCCCCTGCAACCAGAGTTGTGGATGGTTGTGAGCTACCATGTGGATGCTGGAAACCAAGCCTGGGTCATCTGCAAGAGCCACAAGGGTTGCTAACCACAGAACCGTCTCTCCCACCGATAATTTCTTACATCCGTATCCAAGCCACCACCAGGATCTGCAAGGAGTTCTCAGTCCAAGAGAGATGCCCAACTTCCACAGATTCTGCCTGAGGAAGAGAGAAACTTACAAAGTCAAGGGCTGCTTGGTAAAGTAGTATAGTGCAGCTTGTCCTGGAGGCTTCCAGTTTGTGTTTTGAATGTGTGGGGTGGGACTTCTCCAAGACAGATGCTGCTCAGGTCCTTGTTGAGCAGCTGTGAGCCGTAAAGGTCATGTTCCCTGGAACTCAAGTTGGCTTTCTCATACACACCTATCTCCCACCTCAGTAGGTGAATTTCATCCTGGGATACTGCTGCTGTCTCTGAAGTCATGGCTCTCAAGCCTCCATGTGTATCTGGATTGGTCAGTGGAGTTGTATAAACAGTGCGAGGCTCTGTCTCTCGGTAGATGTTATGAACTGAAGGTAGCCCCCTGAATTCCTGTGTTGAAGTCTTAAACCCCAACATGATGTTATTACCAGGCAGAGTCTTTGATGAGGTCACAAAGGCAGAGCCCCCCTGGATAATTAGTACCCTTATAAAAGCATCCACAGAGAGAGAGTTCAATCTCCCTCTTCCAGAGAATCAGTCTTCTATAGCCTTGAAGAGTGTCAGCACCCAAACCAACCATGGGAGGCTCTGGTATCCACTTCTAGCCTTGGGAACAGTGAGGAATAAATTTCTGTTGTTTATAAGCTGTTCCGTTTCTGACACTTTGCTATAGAAGCAAAGCTGGACTCAGGCGAGACAGCAGTTTAGAGCAAGACCCGCAAATGTGCATTTTCAGCAAGTTCCTGGGGACAGGGGAGTGCTGCCACAGGCACTCTGGGGACCAGCGACTGCTCTGTATATTCTGCTAGACCTCTCCAGGAGCCCGCTAGCCTGAGCTGTGCATGAACACAGAGGCACGCTGCTCTGCTCAGCTCCCCGATCTCTCCTCCGCTTCCTTTTCATTCAGCACCTTATTGCTCCCAGGGGGACAGTCTAACTTTGAAGTATTTCACAATCAGGATTCTCGTTCTTCATCTTTTATTGTTACCCATCCCACCCCCATCCCCCCAGGCCCCAAGTATGACTGACTTTTCTTAATTCCTTAGAAGCATCCGATAATCTTGCCAAGGGACTTGTTCTTTACCTGAAATCTCCACCCCCTCCCCCCAACCATCATTACTTCCAGGCTTCCAAACCATTCCACGCCAAAGACAATTTCAAAGCTCAGAAAGAGTGTCGGAGGCTTTTTAGGGAACAAAACTGTGTTGGTAGCTACACTTCATTGGGCAGGTGACTGAAGAGAATTTGTCCTTAACTTTTGAGAGATGGATGAAAGCTACTGGGCTTCCTTGCAGAAAACACATAAGAAAAAAAAATGGGGGAAATATTTAGGACACTTAAAACACCTGTAGTCCAAACAAATTCTGGGTCAAAGGAATGGTTACCAGTCTAGGGGTGAGATTTAGTTTTTTATCACCACAGCCAGCTTCAGAATCTCATGAAAGGGGCCTAAGCTCGCTGGACCTCAGTCGCTGTTTTAGTCAGTGTTCTATTGCTGTGAAGAGACACCATGACCAAGGCAACTCTTATAAAGGAAAAACGTTTAATTGGGGCTGGCTTACAGTTCAGAGGCTTAGCCCGTTATTTTCATGGTGGGGAGCATGGCGGCATGCAGGCAGACATGGTGCTGGAGAGGTAGCTGAGAGTTCTACATCTGGATCTGTAGGCAGGAGAGAGAGAGAGACAGAGAGAGAGAGAGACAGAGAGAGAGAGAGAGAGAGAGACAGAGAGAGAGAGAGAGAGAGAGAGAGACAGAGAGAGACAGAGAGACAGAGAGACTCTGGTCTTGACTTGAGCGTTTGAAACCTCAAAGTCCACCCCCATTGACACACTTCCTCTTCCAACAAGGCCATGCCTCCTAATCCATCTAAATAGTGCCATTCCCCGGTGACCAAATATTCAAATCTAGAAGCCTATGGGGGGCATTCTCATTCACATCACCACAGTGTCCTTCCTTATAAGACAGCCAAGATGCTACTGGTCACCCAAGGAACGTGAGAGGACTGGTTCCCCTCTGGTGCACTGGAGGTTTCACTGAGAGCCATTTTCTGGACTTTTTAATGCAAAGAAACTGCTAAGGGGTTCCTCAGCTAATACCGGAACCAGGATATGAAAGTCAGACCAGAGAAAGACCTGAATTCTTTTTTAAAAATACCACTAGCATGTATTTATGTATCTCAAGGGTTAAATAAAAACCCACAAATCTCCCAGGGGCCGGCAACACACACTTCAAGCTCTAACTCAGTTGCCTCCTCCGCTGTGGGACCTTAGCGGAGAATGTGACCTGGATACTCTGGTTGATCAAATTGATTCTCAGATGCAGCTTTGGGTTCTAAGTGGGAAGTAGAAATGAAACAATCATTTCCTCCCTAAATCCAAAGCTCTCATCAGCCTCTCTGGCCCCAAATCCCAGAGATGAAGGTCAAGAAGGGGATGGGGAGCCAGGGATCTGATTCTCCCAAGCTGATGCTGGACCGGTGAAGGCTGCTGAGGGGAAGGTGAGGTCCTTCACCATCAGGAGGACAGGAACTGAGGGGCAGACTTAAACAGTGTGCCCAAGGTCACAGAACTGCAGGGTGATGAGGTCGGAGTTTGAAATCACATCTATGGAGATGGAGGTCCGCTCTCTTTTCATGAACATGGAATAAATAGCTCTTTCCCCCTCATCAGAGGACCCTTCCACCCCCTACACACAAGCTCCTGCTTCTGTTCAGAGTGCATATGAGGACCACCCTCATCCAAGCTGGTTATGGCTGGTCCCTATGCCACAGTCAAGGGAGAACATCCAAGCAAAGCACCGTCTTGGCTGCTGATCCTTGCCATGGCAGGTTCCTGCCCGAGGGCCGGCCTGTTGCCAGGAGCCACAATTGTGATCACAGCTGAGAAACGACAGCCTAATCATAATGATGGTAACAATATAATAAAGGTAACAATTGCTACCTGGCAGTGGTGGCGCACGCCTTTAATCCCAGCACTCGGGAGGCAGAGACAGGAGGATCTCTGTGAGTTCGAGGCCAGCCTGGTCTACAAAGGGAGAGCCAGGACCAAAAAAATAAATAAATAAAAAAATCTAAGGTACACCAAGGTTGATCTAAGCACCTTGCCCATATTGGTGTGTCTAACTTCTTTTTTTAAAAATTTTTATTACCATACATCAATGATATGCACTAATGGGGTTTCATCGTGATGTTTCCATACATGTATGCAATGTACTTTGACCACATTTGCCGTTGCTCTCCTTTTTCTCCTCCCACACCTACAAATCTCTTTCCTCTTCTCACTCTAGTCCCCCAACCTCCTTGCCTTTTGTTTGTTGGTTTGTGAGCCAGTGGGTTCAGTTAGAATTAGTTACAGGAGGATGAGCCGCTTGCGGGCGGCTACACCACTAAAGGAAATGTCTCTCCCTCCCTTGGGGAGGGGTAAGGCTTTCGAGTCCCCTCCCCATGTTTAATCTTCTTGTTCTACGACTAATATTAACCCCCTCTTTTCACATTTTGCTGGAGAGGAAACTGAGGTACAAAGTGTCTAACTGGGCCAAAGTTACAGCTGAAGAGGGACGACAGAACCAGGACCCATTTCTAACCATCTTCAGAGCTGGTGCTCTTGGGTTCCATATGTTGATCCCATATACTGTATAATCTATATTATATACAGTATATTCTATGTACTGATAAATAGTTAACACACATGATGCTTACTACACATTGCTATACATACTTTGCATATGTTAATATACCGAACAGGAATTGTTCAGAGGCAACCATAGAGGCGGATACAATTTGTGTCCCCATCTCACCTGAGACTAAGCATAGGCCAGCCAAGCCACTTGTCTGAGGTCACCCGGCATGTAAACGGCGGGCGTGGGCTTTGGACCACCCCTCAGCATCCCAGAGTCTGTGCTCTTTTGTTCTGTATTAGCAGCCAAACCCTGAGACCACAGCCGTCTTAAGCAGATCTTCTGAAGTTCTGGGACAGAGCCCTGAGGATGCCCACGGGGCATCTGGTAACCCCTAACTTCTGGACTTCCGTTGCCTGGTGACCCACTGTGCTGGGTAGACACAGCAGCTCGCGGCTGTGGTTATGGGTAACTGGCAGTTCCTCTTGAGCAGGGGCGGTGCTACGAGGAAGTGTGGGCTGAAGTTAAAGAATGTGGTTGTATAGAGGGGCAAAGGATGTGAAACTGTTCTCTCTCTCCCCTCCTCCTCCTCTCTTTCTCTTCCACCCCACCTCTTTTTTTTTTTTTTTTTTTTTTTTTTTTTTTTTTTTTTTTTTTTTTTTTTTTTTTTTTTTTGGTTTTTCGAGACAGGGTTTCTCTGTGTAGCTTTGCGCCTTTCCTGGATCTCGCTCTGTAGACCAGGCTGGCCTCGAACTCACAAAGATCCGCATGCCTCTGCCTCCCGAGTGCTGGGATTAAAGGCGTGCGCCACCACCGCCCGGCCCCACCTCTTGTTTTAAGAGACAACGTCTGGTATATACTTGGAAGCCTGGAAATCAGTATATAGTTGAGGCTGACCTTGAACGGTATCTCCTTACCATTTATTTTATATTTGTCCGTTGTGTGTGTGTGTGTGTGTCAAGGCACACAAGGGGTGGGTCAGAGCAGTCAGTTCTTTTCTTCTGGTGTGTAAGTCCTGGGGACTGAATTCAGGTCCTCAGGCTGGTGCCACCCAGCCATTCTGCTGTCCTCTGACCTTGAACTTCTGGTCCTTCTGAGCCACCACACCGGCTCTGCTGTTTGTCTCTTGTGTCCCGTTCTCTTTCTCCCTCTTTAGGATGAAGGACAAAAGCACATTCTCGTGGGTCCTGTTACCCAGTGCAGACCTGGCCTGCTGTATCGTGTCCTCTACTGCTGGCCCGCCACTAGGAAACAGAATGAGGCTGGGGCCCCAAGCACAGCTCCAAAGACACCACAAAAGCCTGGCAGTGGTGTTGCACGCCTTTAATCCCAGCATCTGGGAGGCAGAGGCAGATGGATCTACAGACCCAGTTCCAGGACACCCAAGCCTACACAAAGAAACCCAGTCTCAAAAAACAAACAACCAAAAAAAAAAAAAAAAACCGAAAACAAAAACCACGCAAAACAAGACACCGTGAAACTCTGGGAGGCCTGAAGTGGTGGCTGCTGAGGGGCAGGCTGCTGCCAGGCAGCTCTGTGAGTTCATTTCGTGGCTTCGCTGGAAGCACATCAAATACTTGGCACCAGGGATTCCCTCCCCCGGGGACCAGATCTTGAGATTCAGAACGCAAGCTACTGCTCTGACACGTGAAATAATGCCTCTCGCTTGCCGCACAGGGACATTGATGCTCCAAGAAACTTTTTCCCGGGGTTGGGAAGTGCAGAGATTTTAGCCCTCGTGGAAGGCAGGCAGTGGACGGGGCGTCTAGGGGAAAAAAACAGTG